TGTAGACTTCAGGCGATTAAATAAGGTGATCAAACGAGATAGTTATCCTCTACCCAGAATTAACGAATTATTGGATGCCTTAAAACAATTCGCATGGTACTCAACTCTTGATCTGGCAAGTGGGTTTTGGCAGATTGAAATGCACCTGCGAGATAGAGAAAAAACGGCTTTTACCTCTCGCTTTGGCCTGAATGAGTTCAACGTAATGCCCTTTGGGCTTACGAACGCGCCTGCAACATTCCGAAGGCTTATGGACCAGGTGCTACAAGACGTCTTATGGAAATTTGGCTTAGTGTATATCGATGACGTTACCATTTTTTCTCCTACATTTGAAGAGCATCTTAAACATGTCGAGGAAGTTCTTCGAAGAATAAAAGCTACTAACTTAAAGTTGAATAAAGGAAAATGTTTTTTCTTTCAAAGGAAGATAACATTTTTGGGTCATGAAATTTGCGAGCAGGGCATAGCCCCGGGTGAAGCAAAAATTAAAGCTATAAAAGAATTTCCACTTCCAAAGAATCTTAGGGCTCTTTGTGGATTTTTAGGTCTCGCTGGGTTTTACAGAAGGTTTATGAAGGACTTCGTGAAGACTGCTGCGCCTCTATATAAATTACTAAAGAAACAAGAATTGTACAAATGGGGACTGGGACAGCAACGGGCTTTTGAAAAACTCAAGGAAAATCTCATAACCGCCCCAATTCTCCCACACCCGGACAACAGTAGGGGGTATATTCTCTATACTGACGCTTCTCAAGCAGCCCTGGGAGCTATATTAGCTCAGCTCGACGATAATAAGAAGGAGCACGTTATCGAATATGCTAGCAGAGCCACCAGCCCTGCCAAAAGAAACTATACTATAACTGAATTGGAGTGTACAGCAATTGGATAGACCGTGAAAAAATTTCATATTTACTTACATGGGTTCAAATTTACCATTGTTACAGACCATTCGGCCTTAGTATATATGAATAACATGACAAACCCCTCTGGACAAATGGCAATACTGATAATGACTCTTCAAGGCTATGATTTCACGATTAAGCACTGCCCTGGAAAACAGCTCGCTCACATGAACAGTTTGTCCAGAATTGAATATTAAAAAAAAAAAAAAAAAAAAAAAAAAAAAAAAATCTGAAAACCAGAATTCAGTCCAGGTTCCGGTGTCCTGGCATTGAAAAAAATAAAATAAATAAAAAAAAATATAATAATAATAAATAATAATAATAATAGTAATAATGGAGGAGGAGGAATACCAACATTTGGTAAAGTACCTATCTGAATTGACTGTACTTTTAAAACTCAATAAAGAACAAGCCCGAAGACTTAAAGCTCAAGCACGATACTATATAGTACGTGAAGATGTTTTATATAAGAAAAATAGGGAAGACTTTCAGAACCCTTTAAGGGTGGTAAAACATAAAGAAGTTAGGATCATTCTAGATGCAATATATGGAAGCGCTATAGGAGGACATTTAGAAGAAATTGCTACCATATGAAAGATTAGAAAGAGATATTTTTGGCCGCAGATGGTTACTGAAATTAAAGGTTTTATTAAAGGTTGTATAATTTGTCAACAAAAAGGAAAACCAAAAACGCACGAACCTTTATGCCCAATAAAGCCAACTCAACCATTTGATCGAATGGGAATTGACTTCATAGGCCCTTTGCCATGAACAAAAAAGGGAAACAAGTATTTAATCGTAGCCACAGAATTTATAACTAAGTGGCCGGAAGTACGTGCATTACCCGATTGCTGGGCAGAATCTGTAGCCTCATTCCTCGTTAACGATATAATAAGTAGGCACGGTTGTCCTAAAGAGATAGTTTCGGATCAAGGGACCCATTTCGATAATAAGGTAATCAATCAATTATGTAAAGAACTGAATATCAAACACATTATGTCATCCAGTTACCACCCCCAGACCAATGGGCAGGTGGAAAGGTTTAATCGCACAATATGTGGAGTGCTGTCCAAATGCACGATACAATACGAAGAAGATTGGGACGAGTTCGTTCAATTGGCGCTATTTGCTTACCATATGATGCGCTATAATACTACGCAGTACAAGCTATTTTATTTGGTCTACGGTAGAGAAGCTAGATTACCTGTCAAACTAGATATAATCACCTACCCTATCGAAGAAATTGACGAAGAAAAGGTACAATTGGTAATTTTTACTAGGCTGTTAACTCTCATAGATGATTTAAAGGAGTCCTGCTATATGGCAATAAGTAACATCAAACGATCCCAAGAAAAGCAAAAATTGGACCATGATAATCGGCATTTATTACATAGCTTTATGATAGGAGACAAGGCATGAAGATATCGGGCTAAGCTCGATTCTAGGAAAGGTGGTAAATTAGAGCCCTGATGGGTTGGTCCTTATTGGGTACACAAAACATTCAAAAATGGTACTTATAAACTACGTACTCAAGAACGAAAAGTATTAGTGCAAGGCGTACATGGGAGTCAAATGAAACCGTATGTAGATCAAAATGTTACATTATTTCTCTCTGAAACTTAAAAAAAAAAAACCTATAAAAAAAGATCGGGAAAGGATCAAGTTACAGACCATATACTCTTCTAGCCCAAAGTACATAAATATAATACTCCCACACGTCGTCAAAAATGGACCAACAACTTGACTATATTAGAACTCAAATACAAAGGTTGGCTGCCGTTTTGGAACTAAGTGAACTCATCATTATGGATTGTAACCGTATCAATATTCGAACTCCTACTCAGGAGGCTTCAGAGTACATCCCTATGCCCGAGAAAAAAACCCTAACTGAAAGAATCTGCGAAAGTATATTCATTTACCTCCAAGATCTGAACCGTGGGAGCCCAGCCAACCCACTTCTTCCATTCGAACCCCCAGGAGGAACGTGAGACGAAAAACTGACCTATGCTAGCCAAGAAATACTTGACTTGGACGCCCATAACAAGTCAAATGTTAAGGCTCTAGAAACTTATTATATAATGGGAAGTATTATAGCCAAAAAGGGGTGGAGTGATGCCACCCGAAAAAGGTTTAAATCATGTTTCATGAAGGAAAAAGGAAAGACAGTAAAGAGAATTTCGAAAAGGGTATATGAGTTGTTTTCAACACGAGGAGAAGGATATCTAAATTTGGTAGAGCACATTAATATCACTATACTCGATAAAATGTATGACGAGGATTTTTCCGATCGATTATTAATGGAGGCTCGAACACGAAGACAGGAAGATATGCTAAATGCGGTGCTCTAATGATTCGCGAGAGCTCATCTTTCGAGAAGGGGATAATGTTATGAATATTTTTTATTGTTTCATTTTTTTCTTTATTTAGTCTTATATTTTTATTATCCATATTTTCGTCTATATTTCTTTTTTATGTTTGTACATATGAATTTATATTCCGGAAAATGATGAACGTGGCTTTGGTAGAGGAGGATAAAAACCCTCAACGAGGGATATTAACTCTCAACGAGGGATAAAAATCCTCAGCAAGGGCTAATAATCCTTAGAGAGGAGTAAAATCTACTGATAAGGAGTTGACGCCACGAAAATTTTGAAATTATAAATAGGGACAGTTTCAGCTTTAAATAAAGGCAATTATTGCTTGTAAACATACGCAATTATTAGTTGCATACACGCTAGAGTGTAATTCATTTGTATAATGACCTATTGAATTTGTACTTATAAGAAAACAATTAATAAAGTAAAACTCTTCAAACCCAAAATCGTAAAGTTCATTTATTACTTCAAAATTAGACCATTCTTGTTTAGAACAACAATACATAATAAATTAGTTCGATCATCCATCATGTGACTTGATTCGTTAAACTGCCAGCTTCAATACCGAAGACTAATTAAATTAATACCGTAAAACCCACTACAAACCTCTCATCCTTTGTTCATGATCAACGCTAAACCGGTACTAATTACCAGAGCTCTCCTACTCGATCATAACACAGGCTTGGGCCCGGGTCAGTGTTAAATGGGCCCGGGTTGGGCTTAAATAAACCTGACCTGACCTGGCCTGTTACATACCCTATCTCATAATCTACAAAACTCTAAAAATTACTCAGAAGTTATAGGACCAAGAATCGTTTTTTGTCACCACTTATTCACCTTTAAAAAACCAATCCCACGAATCCCACATGGGATTTTTAGAAAAACAGCTGATTGCCTATCACTAGTTATAAATGTGTTTAAGAATAGATTTATGCTAAAGTAATTAAAAATTTTACAGAATCTTTCAATTTTGCAAAATATTAATATTATATCTATATAATATATTAAGGTAAAATCTAAATGGTGCCCCAATACACAGTGTGTCCCCCAAGTTTTAATAGTGAACTAATACAAAGATTAACATTAGGGTTAGTGTTGTAGTGACGACCAACACCCCTTGTGTTGATAGTGCTAGGGTTAGGTATGATCACGAGTTACCCGATTGGGACTAGGTAACGTCAATGGCGTGATCGTTGATTCATGAATTTAATTTATAGTCTATTTGTAAGTATTGCATAATGCGTGTAACTGGGTAATTAAGTATCCGGATTGATAATCTAATAAAAGCGTAACGATCCCAGAAGAAAGTTACAGAAAGTAAATTAGTAATATAAGCATTAGTCTGCTTATTAGCTTAGTGAATACATATCTTAGTATATACAGTAGTATAGGTAGCAGTGCCTGGTACGATACACCAGTGCACAAAGTGAGTGCTCTGACTAAGTGAATTGAGCCCGAAACCCCTATAAGTGCAAACGTATATGACAAACAAGGACCTGGGCAGATCAAGGTTCTACTCACTTTCTTCGTGGATAAAGTTGTGTTTAAAGAAACTCGGCAAGTGAAATATAGCCAACGTAATCAAGTGCAGTGTGAAGTGAACGTATATTTTAATGAAAAACAAAAAAAATAAAAATAAAAAAAAAACATTGTCAGTGAAGGCTTGTCGATCAAGCAAAAATAGTGAAAAGGACATTACATGCCTAAGTAGTAAACGAAAGAAATGGAAGGTAAAGATTTTCTCTTGTTAATAGTTAAAAGAGTAACAGAAATTGTTGTAAAAGAGGTTTTTAATAACCTAAACACTACGTGGACGAAACAACGACAAAGAAGGCCTTGACTATGCTACGTATGTTAATGCCAAGAACATTTAGCCCATTCTTGCCCGGAGCAAGCGAAATGTGAATGTCAGGAACATAATATGGACGTACAATTTATGAAAAGCAGTGATCCCAAGGTTGAAAGAAGTTTTTTTTTTTTTTTTTTTTTTTTAAAGTGAGGTCTTGCTCATATCTTTATTGAATAATTTATATAAGAAGTTATATAGTAAACTATATACAACTTAACTTGTACAAATACAAATAAATATAAATTACATGCAAGAGTAAGAGCTTAGACTAATTTAACAATTTATCTGCGATCTAAACCTACTAGAGTGGTCAAGACTCACCTAGCTTTTAAGATTAGTATGAAGTTTGTAGGTATATTAAAGGAGACCCACATGGGGCTCCAGCTATTGAACTTTTTTGTTGCTAGTCCAGCTAGTGGGCATGTATCATTTTTGTTATACACTTGATCTGGTTGTCCGCAAAGACAGCTGTATGTATAGGCTTTTTTATGTTGTTTTGAAGCTGGGCATCTTTTGTATTGGAGAGAATTGCCTATAGGTCTTGTTGAGATCTTGTGCTCTTTTTTCTATTAAGCTAATTTGGCTAAGTATGGTTTCCAGATCTGTTTATAGATATTTTTGGTTATGTGTAGCAGGGTTTGTATAATAATTTGTGATGCCTCTTTGTGTGATATGTCCTCAGATCGAGTTGTAAGTATAAGGTGAGCTAGGATAAGGCACTGGAGGGTAGTAATGTAATTGTAGTTTTTGAGGATTGGAGAAAAGGATTGAGTGCTGGGTGTGAGTATAAAGCATTAATAAGAGTATTTCATGTAGAGACTGGTAAAGTTGGGAGTAGTTTGTGAACTGGTTCAGATATAGAAGAAACTATAATTTGGCTAAGTATATTAGGCTGTAGACATGTTAGCCAGTATGTAGGTGTTTCTGAAAGATTATAGTTGAAGCAGTTAGGAGACTGAAAATGTTTATATGAGGTTGTGTAGAAGTAGTTATATGTGGGAAGTCAGTTTAGAAGCATTTTTATTTTGAAGGCTTTTGCATAGTTGAGTTTTTAGCTATTGTAGCTATGTGAGACTTTTTGGTTGTTGTTTAAATATAGCCAGGTTGCTTGCTAGTCAATTTCATCTATGAAGTTTGACCATTTGAGATTACGTTTTTGTGAAGACCACATAGCAATAGTTTGTACTCTGCATATGTCTTTGATAAAGTGTCTGCTGTAGCTTTCTACTGGGTGCTTCTCCCAGGTAAGAGTAGAGAATGGATTATACATATTAGTATAGACTAAAAGAAGTATGTAGGGCTGGGAGCGAAGTATAGCTAGTGAATCAGCGTAGTTATTAAATTTGTCGACTAAGTGCACTATAACTTTGTGTAGACAAAGTTGGATTTTGTAAGATTTGATAAAGCCTATTATAGTATGCCAAATAGGCCAGTAATTGCACTTAGTGTACTTAGATAAGAGTGGAGGAGTTTGATATAGGCTGTTATATTTGGATATAACTGATTGGGAGTCTGTGAATATGTTTACTGTAGCATCTTTTGGAGCTGTTGAGATTGCTGACAGAATTGCCATGAGTTCTGCTTTGTATAAAAAGAGCTAGCTTTTAATTTCTGCTGAGAATTCTTGTACTGATTGGTCGTTTTGAACTTGAACCCAGCCTATACCTATTGAGTATTGGTCTGTACCTAGTCCTATCACAGACCCATTGGTATAGACAGTAAAGTCATTAGAGAAGATGTTGTGGAGTGTGAGTTGGATAAGCTTTTGAGAGGCCTTACTGTTTTGAAAGATCTGAGTGGTAGGTAGGTCAGAGATAGTAATAGTAGAAGGTGGGGAATATGAAGAGGGTGTTTAATTGCCATAAAGTAAATAAGGTCTATATAGTTAGCGTTAAGTTTTAGAAATTTGTTTGGTGTTTTCCTGCCTAATAATTGAGTAGACAGGGTTTGAGATACTTCGAGTGTGCAGTGATTGGTTATTCTATTAGAGTTCAAGCTACATTCTGGGCATGAAGAGCAGGTAATAGGTGGGAGTTGGTATTCATTTTGTTGGGCTATATCAATATTGTGTACTTAGTGAGTAATTGATATGAAGTTTGAGTTTGGGAGCTTCTTTCGCATCTGACTAATAATAATATTGTTTTGGTATATAAGTAGCCAGGGCTTGTAGGCTTAGTGGATAAGGTTGGTGTGGTAGATGAAAGCGTTAATTCCTTGTAGTTGCAAATATGAATATATAGTGCAGTAGAAAGTATCCGCTAGCAGCGTATTTTCTAGGTATATAAACCAACGTGGCTTTTTCCCTTTTGGGAGGTGTAATAGTCTAGGAAAAAGGTGTGTCCATTTTAGTAGAGTTTGATTGTCTGCTGTGCATAGCTGCTCGAGATATAGTATTCTTTTATGTCTAATTTGTTGTTTGAAAGTGCTATAATTAGAGTGGTAAGCTATAAGTTGTTCAAGTGATGTATTGCTGTTATTAATAGTTTGTGGCCATGGTGCATTAGGGTTTGTTTCTATTGTTAGACCAAAGAAATTGTATAGCTGTATAATCTTGAAATTAGTGATGTGGTGATTGGGACTATCAATATGTGGGTGAAGATATTGGAGTAAACTGGTTGTAGACCAGAGATTGTTCTGCAGCTGCTGTAGTCTAATTCGGATAGTAAGCCCCAGAGTTGAAGTGTTGTTAAGTCTGTTGTGAAAGTTGCTAATATGGTGTTGGAGCTGTATGTCCCAAATGTTGTTAATATTATATATGTTGTGATTGAGCATAGTACTATTAGGAGTAGATCTGGCAAGATGAGATTTGTGTTTGGCTATTGTAAGGTATTTGCCTAGTAGTCGGTTATATTTTAGATTCTATATTCTGTTGTTGGGATAATAACTATATTGATAATATATGCGACTTGTTTGTCAGTAATAATTTTTTTACTAGCAATATTAGCTAGTTGTAGAGCCTCGTCTTGTATTAGCTTAATTTGGGCTGTTTGCTTATTATTGAGAGTAAACCAGTATCCAAGGAATTTGAATAGTTGGTATGTAGAAGTGAAGATTAGGCTGGTATTTAGAAATGAGATACTGGTATTGGGCTGTTTGGAGATGAATATGGATTTAGTAGGGTTAACTTGTATATTGGCTATTTGGTAAAAGGATATGGCTATATCTATAGTTTTTTCTAAGTCTTCCTTGGATTGAGCAATCCATACAGTATCATTCATATATGCTAGTACTGAAATTGATACATAGAGATGGTTTGTAGATAGGTGTGTAAGGCTTGTTTGCCAGGATGTAGAAAGAGTATATCCAGGTTAGTGGCTAGCTATATGTGTTATTAAAGGGTCATAATAAATTCTTTAAAACAATGGTGTAATAGTTTCTCCCTAGTCAATATTATTTTTGACAAAGTAGCTCTCTGTTAATCCCAGGTTGGTAATGACTTGGTTGGTGCAGTCAGAGAGTAAGTTGGTAAGAATATTAACAAGAGCTTGGGGCATGCCAATTCTGTGTAGTGAGTTACTAAATAGGTCAGGGATAACTGAATCGTAAGCTTTACTCATATTTTGTAGTGTTCAAAGATAAGCCGGCTTATCACGGCTTGCTGCGGCTTAATGCGGCTTATCACGTGATAAATTCGAATTTATCACCAAGCCATGTGATATCTTCGAATTTATCATGTGATATTTTCGCAATTATCACATGGCTTGGTGATAAATTCGAATTTATCACGTAATAAGCCGCAGCAAGCCGTGATATTTGAACACTAATGTTTTGGGAGAGAATCCACAGTTGGTTTGAGTTGCATGCTGTATCTTCAATAATATTGGATAGGAATAGTGGTGGAGTTGTCTGGTAATACAACGTAGTTATAGGGTGAGATGATGTTGTGGGAGAAAAGAATGTTGTTCAGATGATTTGTAAGCAGTTTGGTATAGAGCTTCTTAATGTGTTCTATCAGACTAATTGGGTGAATATTGGCTAGATTGCTATCAAATAAGGGTTTTTTAGATATTGGATATATACGTCCCTCTTTCCATTGTTTGGAGATTTGTTGGCTGCTTAGACAGCGATTGAGCAAAGATGTGATAGACTGTATGAAGCTAGTGCCTGCATGTTTGAGCATCTCGTAGCTTATTCCAGATGGGCTGCAGGCAGGGTTGGCACATTTATTCATTGGGCCTAATGGAGAAGACCTCCATTGGCATTGCTCCATTGCTCCATTGCTCCATTGGGAATAATTTGCCAATGAAGCCAATGGAGGCCAACATAATAACTATAAATTATTATTATTTTTTTTTTTTTTTTTTTTTTTTTTTTAAATGTCGACGGGTCTCGCCGTGACTAATTTTATTTATTAATATTTATAAGAACTATAAATATATAAATTTCAAAAAAGAAGTCCGACATTACACGGTTCCATATCGCGGTGCGAAACCTAACTCAGACTTATAAGCGACTCCGTCCTACCAGATCACGGATGACTGGAATTATCCAAAAAAAAAAATTCTATAAAAAACGAAAACGAACTATAACTAAAAAGGGGAAATGAGCAAAAGAGGGAAAAGGGAAGAGAGCGAAATACAAAATAAAAAAAAACCCAAAAAAAGAAAAAACAGAGAAAATAAAAAAAAAAAATTTTATAGAACTAGGATAAAGTGTAAAGAGGGATTTCACCTATCTATCTAATAAGAATGCACTATTATAACCTGTGCAAGGCTAAAAAATTATATAACAAATGCAATGATTGTATATCT